ACACACACACACACACACACACACACACAGAGGGAGAGCAGGAGAGGGGAATTAGGCACATGTGGCATGATCACCCGTGCTCTTGCTCCTCGTAACCGAGAGAAGAGGATAGATTTCAGGCAAAAGGGAAAGTGAGATAAGACGGCAGAAAGACGACATTAACTGAAGAGTTTCCTGGACCGGTACAAAGGCAAGAAAGAGCAAAATAGGCCTTGTCTTGTTTGCTCAGCAGAAACGTGGTGTTGAAATGCATTCAAGACTGTATCTAATGCCGGCAACATAAACGGCCTTTCAGGCAACTAATGCATCAGATGGCAACACTCCTTTCAAAGGAAAGAAATGCCGAATTTTGCGCTTTTCTTGATGCCTAATAAGGCTCGTCTGAAGGATTCGAAGGCAGGTCTTTCCACATTTCAATTTCATGTTTGTTTCGATGACACCATTCAGAGGCCGCAGTTACAATGACCCAAGGGAACTTGTGGCAAGATGGTGTAGTTCATAACGTGTCGAGATTATTCTTGTGCTTACTTCCATCTTTTTTCATTTCGAGTGAAAGTGTTTGGTGAAGAGACTCGAAGGTCGATTCCACCAAAAGACGACCAGCAACGGATTGCTCTTGACCGGCTGTCGATTGGCTTTACCAAATGCATATGATAGTAGGGTTTCGAGACTACCAATAAATCAGTGTAATGATATGTATTCACCCTATTTCGTCTAAGGCGATGAAGGACTAGTAGTAGAATTTTCCCACAATGATATGAGTTGAGCTGACATGATAATATAATATAATATGATATGATATAATATAATATAATATAATATAATATAATATAATATAATATAATATAATATAATATAATATAATATAATATACTTTAATTTAATTTAATTTAATATGAGATGTATTCACCCTATTTCGTCTAACCTGATTTCGTCTAACCTAGTAGTAGAATTTTCCCACAATGATATGAGTTGAGCTGACAGCATAATATAATATAATATGATATAATATAATATACTTTAATTTAATTTAA